TCTGGAACCCAGTTGCAGAGGGAGGAGTGATTAGCAAAGAGGTCAAGACTAGGCTGGTGAAACCCACAGAAACACCTGACCTGAACAAGAGGGAGCACATGGACCACAGACTGATGTTTGGGAGGCCAGCACAGGACTGATCCAGACCCCTGAACGTGGATGTCAGTGAGGAGGCCTAGGTACTCTGTGAGGCCTCTGGTAGTAGATCAGTATTTATCCCTGGCTTAAGGAAGGACTTTGGGAGCCCATTCCATGTGAAGGGATGCTTTCTCAGCCTGGACACACAGGGGAGGGCCTAGGCCCTGCCTAGGATGATATGACAGACTTTGGGGATCCCCCATGGAGGGCCTTACCCTTCCTGGGGAGCAGAGGGAAGATGGGGTAGGGAGCTGGTGGGGAAGGGGAAGGAGATGCAGAAGGGATTGACATGTGAAGCAGGCTTGTTTCTAATTTGAACTAATAAAAAATAATTTCTTGGAAGAAAAAGAATCTCAGCTGAATTCAATAAACTATGTACCAGCTATTAAAAGATATAATTGGATGATAGAAAGCACAGTTGCTTTTGTTCTACAAAAAAAAAAAAAAAACACTAGTGAAAGATTACATGTTTGAGTTGGCATAATAATATGTGTAAGTTTGGCTTAGCTGTAAACTTATCATTGTGATATGGTGGATATAAGATACATCAGGCCAATTTTGAGATGAAGTAAGTCATCGGGTTACTATGTATTTGTAATCTTACCTTTGCCTAAACTCAGTGAAGTGGTAGGACTTGTTGATGCTTTTTCAGGAATCAGAAATATCCTGAGATCATGCCTATAGAGCACAAACTTGTGGGATTGCACAAGGAATAAAACATAGGCAAAGTTTCCAAGAAAGTAAAATCATTTATGCTGCTGAAGGCTGACCTCCACATCTACAAGAGTTCAGTTTCACTGGCCATGAATTCACAATTTCAGAAATTGGCATTTACGTTCACACAAATGGGATACTCTTCTCAGGGATAGACATTGCTCACCCTATTGATTAACACAACTCATTAAAGAAGATAGAGAGATGAATGCATGCTGGAGTTGAAAATGTAACAGTAACAGTAAATGTAGACAGTAACATAAAGTTCTCCTTGTGATCTTGCATCACTAAATTTATGACTGATTTCATACTCACACACAAATGCAGTGTTAATGTAGAAATTCTGCCTTGCTAAATATTCTCTTCCTTAAATCCTTCTGCTATCCTCTGGTTTGAGGAAAAGCAGGGGAATTGAGCAGTAATAAAATGCTAATGTTTTGTGATCCATGTAAATGTTACTGTGAAGGAACAATTCCCAGAGATGAGGGAGTTCCTAAGAAGAGAGAAGCCTGATGAGAACTATAGCAGTACGTTGTGGAGGCAGACTGGTGGTAACAAATGGCAAGTAGATCCCCCAAAGATGAGAGGCAAACAGCAGAAGGGGGAAGACAGAAGGGAAGGGAAGAGGTAAGTATCCAGGGAGATGCTGAGTGGATGGGGAATTCTACTCAGCAGGCCTGAGGAAGCTATCCTGCCCTTCAGCTCAAAAAGCCCTAAAATTGCAGCAGCACAGCTATAAAGTGGCTAGAAACAAACATCATTACGGCCGGGAGTGGCAGTAAGGGAGCGCTTTATGCACCAGGCAGAAGAGAAGTGGGGACAATCTGCCCTGACTTGCCAGTCTTTCTCCGAAAGAGGCTCTTCCGCTTCCATGACAGGGAAGCATAAAGAGACAGAACCCTGGAACATGCAACATAGGAAACTGATAAGCCACAGGCAGCCGAGCTAACTCAGGAAGGAAGCAGATTCTAGAGAAGAGGCTGCCAGAAGGCTTTGTCAAACAGCATTCCTGCATCGTTCAATATGAAGGTAGCCAGAGAAAGCAAGCAAATTTTCAGACTAGGCCTAGAAATAGAAATAGAGTAATTATGAGGAAAGAACGGTGATACGTGGGAAAAGGGTCTGTAATATATTTAATAAATGTGAGTCACCAGAATTAATTAACCTGATTTGAAGGGGAACACACACACACATTCACAGATTCAACTCTCTGTGAACTCTGACCATGAATAGCACACAGTGATTTGCTTCCAGTATTCGACTAATTATGACATTATATTATTTTCTTGAGTAGAAAAGAAGTATCTTTTTGATTGTAAGGGTAATACATGTTTAGCCAAGAAACTTTGGAAAACACACGGAGACCACTTGAAAAATCCAACCAGAGGGACCCCGGCCACATTCAGATGTAATGACTGTTTCCTCACTTTTCCCCCCCTGAATCGAAAACGTTCTCTTTATAGAATTAATTTTCCTAGGAAGACTTTATGACTATTTTCCCCTGCTATTAAAATGGCTGAGAAGCAATGTGGGTACCGTATGACAGGCAGAAAAGAGAAAATGGGTTGAGGAACAAGAAAATGCTGGCAACGGACTCAAGTTATGAAAGAGGACAGAAAGATAATTGGCTTTCTAGTTCTAAGTCTATCATGGACTTTTTGCTTTCGGTGGTTGATAAGTACATATTCAATAGCGAGTGGACAAAATCCAAATTGAAGTCCACAGCTTCTGCTCTGACAAGCAGCTCTATCTGTGTGGACGTTCACCCAGAAGTATAGCCTTTGGTCTGGTAATTTTTTAATGAATTTATTTATTTATTTTACATCCTGAACAAAGTGTCCCCTCCCTCCCCTCTCCCAGCCCCCACCACCACCCTCTCCTGTTCCCTCCCATTAATTAGCGCCCCTTCTGTTTCTGTTCAGGAAATGGCAGATCTCCCATGAGTATCAACAAAGCATGACATGTCAAGTTCCAGTAAGACTAAGTACTTCCCCATGGGCAAAGTGACCCAGTATGAAGAGTAGGGTCCCAAAAGCCAGTAAAAGACTCAGGTGTGGTTATTTTATCATCACCATCATTTGTAACTTTTTGAAATAAAGTTTAAAATTTAAAAAGTAATATTTCTATTAGATGTACGATTTCTTATGCAGTAGACAAACACAATG